TTAAAAAAAAAAAACATATACATGTATTGTTGATACACTTTTTTAAAAGAGGTAATATTGTTGAGCTCCCCTCCTTGTCTTTATTTTTGGCTGGAATAAAGAAGGGGACCCAAAGAAATAATGTGGGATTGCAGGAATGATAAGAAACAAGGAAACACTTCCAAGGAATGCTCTAAGTACAACAGGCCAGGCAGAGAAATGAAAAACTTGCATCCAAACCCAAAGATTGGCCGCAAGGGACAACAATCAGATAAACAAACAGCTTTGAATAGTGAACTAGGACACACACCCTGGGGATTCCCTAGGGACTAAAAATAGAGTCCCCTTACCACAGTGTAAAAGAGTTCTTTCTTCCGCCCTGCTTTGTGATACTGGTGTTATACCCTGTAAGCAATTCTCATTTGCCAGCGGACACAATACTAGGCACTATCAGGAGGTGGCACTGAAGGGACATTGCAAGGGGCTTCGCTTCTCCTGGTTCCAGAGCTTTTCCCTCTTGCTCCTACGGTGTCACCGTCAGCATGTGACTTTCATGCCAACAGGAGGCTTCTCTTCCAGCAAGGTGTGAGCCAGTGGCACACATTCATCTGAGTTTTGCTGGCGCCTCAGAGGCAGCTTTCCAAGTGTCAACAGCACCCCTGCAAGGGACTTCCTCGAGTTGCCCTGACGCCCTGCCTGCCACCTCAAACTGTGGCCCCTGAGCGAACTTCTCCATCGAGTGGGCCACACACATCCTCTTCTGTGAGCTCTGAATCTCAGCCTTTCGGGGAGGGAAAGGGCTCTTGCAAGCTTGTCCTCACCTCGGGTACACTCAGTCCATAAGCAGGCTCCCTACATCTGCTAGTCCTGTATTCTTTAGAGATGTCTTGGACCTTCTTGGTGGTTAATCCATTACTAGTTAATAATTGTTCGTATTGAATTTTCCCTGTTCAAATTATTGGTATGGTTTTTTTCTCCTGAATAAATCCTGAACCCTAAATGATACCATAATCATTTGTAAAATTTAAAAGAGGATGTATATTTTCTAAATCACTAAGAAAATTAAAGCCAGGAAATTACAGTCCATTTAGGAAATGAGAGGAATCAGTGAGAAAGCAAAAAACATGATCACAGAAGACCAAAGTTAGTAATTAACATAAAAGCAAATGGATGAGACTCCCCCACTAAAATGCAAAGACCCTCTAAAGGGGTGAAATACAAAATCTAACAAGATGTGCTGTTTTAAGAGACAACTAAAAATTATATAAAAGTAAAAGAATAGACAATTTATGGAGCAAATATAAACAGAAAAAGAGAAATATTCTATTATCCAAGAAGTAAAATTCAAGGCAAAAAACATAAATAGGACAAAAAGAGTAACTTTATAGACTAGTAAGTCTTCTTTATGAATTGTACCTGACAGACACAAGTATTTGCACACTAAGTAACAGTATCAAAGTATATAAAGCAAAAGCTCTGGACAAGATGGAATCGAAAGAAATAACTATATAGAAGACTTTAAGACAACACTGTTAGTCTATGGTACTTTATAACCAAACATAAAAAAATAAAATTTGAATAATAAAAGTGGTTGAATACATATTCATCTGTCCCACACAAACTGAATAAACCGTCATTAAAAACATCCAAAGAACACTTTTTCAAAAGGTTAGACCCCAAAACCTCAATAAATTCTAAAAAGCAAAAACTACATAAGCCATATTTTCTTTCCACAAGGTAAAAATCCTACAAGCAGAAAACTTAAAAACAAATAAATGCCAACCACACAGAAATTTTTAAATATTCTTAATTATTGAACCAAAAATGTTAACACACAAACTACTTAGAAAACAAAACACATCAGCATAGCTGGGCTGTGACTATATTTGAAATTAGAGATAAGCAAAAGCCTTCAATATATTCATTTGTATATAAACAAAAACAAAAAATAAGTATCAGACTCAAAAAGTTACAGGGGGGAAAAAATCTAGAGAAAACAAAAATAATAAGCATAAAATAAGAAATACATACATTTTTAAAATAAAATCACAATTGACAAGTAAATCCAAACTAGTCTTTTTAAAGGGAAAAAAAGATACCTTTAGCAAGTCTAAACAAGGAAAAAATAAGAAATGGTGGTAGAACGAAGAGAAGGTAAATTTCTTATAACCTGGAAGTAGCAAATTTAATAGAAATCCTTATTCTCTATTACAATTCTCTACTAATAAATGTATTAAATTTCAAAAAATGAAGTTTGCTAGAAAAGTATAAATTATCTAAATTTAGTACATAATAAACACAAAAGGAGAAATATACTTTAAAACAAAATTTTAAATTTAAAAATAGATGGCGTACTAACAGTCACAGAAGAAACTGATAATTACCAAGAAATTATTTCCAAAAAGGGCTCTGAACTCTAAAGTTTTAGAAGCACAGTCCTTCAATCTTTCGTGGCACAAATCACTCCCATGCTATAATGTAACTGCTTAATGCATAGAAAAATATATACAGTTATCCTATCCGCTTTACAGAGCTAGCAAAATCCCTATGTCAAAACTTGGATGACAGCCCAAAAAGACCAAACTCACTCATGCAAAAATGCAATTTTCCCAAGTAAAATATTAGCAAATCAAAGTCCATAGTTCCAATAAGGCAGTCAGTCACATTTTAGGAAAAATGCATTCCAGAGGCCATCACGTATTTCAAAACTAATTTTCCCAGAAAAATAAATGTAAAAATAGGAAGGGTACAAGGCTGGACAGCGTAAGTCTATAATCACTGTACTGTATGTTTTCTTTGAGACTGCTTTTTCTTATCTCACAATTATTTCTAATATTTCCAAAAAAACTCTCACTCAGTGGTGGTTTCTTTTGGGTCTTTATCACATTTAATTTCTGTCACAAAGTTACTGAGACTTGAACATGCTTTTCAACACATTTTAACACTACCACTGAATGAATGCCTGTAAGAGAATATGATCATTATGAATGTTAAAGGTCACCAAAATCACTCTCACAGTGGTGCTGGTAGGGACCCCTGGGCTTGACAGGATAGTAACAAAGAATGATGGCATGTCTGTTTACCAGTCAAAGCAGCACTGCTATGTGGCAAAAGCATGAACAGTTTACAATACACTAAGACTGCCAGTTTTGAAATTATGTAATTCTTGGTCATTTTTTAGGCTGTAAATATATGCATTATGTCGAATTTTGAAAGCAAAGTGAATCTTTACTAGTATTATTAGATCAATGATTTTAAATCCGTATAATTCAAGTTTACATAAGATGCAAGTGAACTGTATATCCTTTTTGTCTAAATTTTTTAATTAAGCTACCTGATTCCAGGAGTTCAAAGATGATTCAATGTTGGAAAATTTATTAATATGTCATCCAGAAATCAAATGAAAAAAACTATATGATCATCTTAACAGATACCCAAAAAGCGTATCTGACAAAATTCCAGAGCCATACCTAATTCAAATTCTTTAAGAACTACAAATAGCGGGAAATTTCCTTTCTAAATGACTAGCTGACTCCGAACAGCCAACCTAAAGATAAAACATTATGGCTGTTCCATTAAAATCAGAAACAAAACAAGAATGTCTACCATCATAATCGTTCTTTAACGTTCTCCTAAAGATTTCAGCCAACAAAATATGCAATAAAAATTAAATTAGAAGAAACATCATTATTCATAGATGATAGCAAAGTATTTCCTAGAAAACCCATGCAAAATTACTAGAAAAGGTACTAGAATTAAATGGATACCAGGAAAATATACATTTATAATCTGATGAGACTACAGAACTATTACAGCTCAAATCTTCCCACCTGTCTCCATCTGGATGGCTTCTGCCCTAGTTTGAGTCACTGTTTGCCTGGATTACTGCATCAGGTTCCTAAACTAACTGGCTTCCCTATCTTCAGCCTAGTGAAGTTACTACACAGGATGGCTACAGGATGTTTCTACAACAAATCTGATCATATTATTCCTTTGCTTAGAATCTGCTCATAGCTTCCCTTCATAGAATAAGACCCAAATTCCTTACCGTGGCCTTGTAAACATAGCCCTGTATAACCAGGCTTTATGCAAACGCCATTCTTGACACTCTAGTGACACCGACTTCCTTTCTGTTCCTCACACACCTTGGTGCTAGTTACTCACCCTGCTGGCACTGCTCTTCCTTTGAACGTCACAAGGACGGCTCCTTCTAGAAAGTCACTCACACAGTCACTCTTGCCCATCACCTATTTTAATTCCCTCCAGAGAATCTAGAGTTCATGATCTGACACTTCTTCCTGTGTGTTTAGTACCTCCTCCCAATCATGTCACCTCCAGGAGAGCAAGAACTGTCTTAATAGCTGTTCAACTCCAACACATAAGTAAGTGCATGGCACGTAAGAGTCACTCAGTAAACAGTTGACGTTTAGTTGTCTGTCATTCTCAGTAGACTGTGTAGACTCCACAAAACAGGAACCACGCCTATTTTGTTCATTGTTGTATCCCCAGGACTCTGACGCTGGGTATATGGTCAATAAATATCTGATGAATGAATCAATGTCCCTCCCTCCCTTTTAAGACCATAATATTCTAAGTTTGGGCAAACTATTCTGGTAAATCTAACACACTGCTGGCCTGTACTGAACTTATAGCCAACTAATAATACGCTAAATGATTTCATATAAACTGTATAAAGAAGATCTTCCCACCTCTACCCATCCATTCCCCGAATTCTACATGTGTGTGATAAGTTAAGATAAACACAGAGCTTTAATAAAGTTTCACAGCCTTGTTGAAATTAATCTTTAAAATACCTTTGTCAAAAAAATACTTACAAGAAAATAACAGGTCAAGAAAAATTAAATCTTTTTAGTCCTAACCCATAAACTGTGTAAGTAGCTGGGCAGAGAAGAGGCCTTCCCTAAAGTTACACTGAAAAAAAAAATTAGGTATTAAAAAGTTAATCTTGTCAGTATATAGACAAATGACCACTATGCTGAAACAGTCAAAACTAACAAAGCCACAGAACGATCGCCTCGTAAGGATTTAAGATATTGGATCACCATTTTGATTACCCGGAAGTTACTAACTAAATATGACACAGTGTACATAGTCCCTGGTTTGTGGGCACTCTAAGTATCTAATTACTTCAAACAAAAAGCTACATTCTCCATTTTTTATATTTTGTTTTTATTTAAGAGTAAACTCACAGGCAGCACTTTAAAATCAGGCTTTTAAAATAAAGGCCAAAACTAAAAAAAAAAATTTTGAAAATACGACACTGCTAGAAGAATGATCGTCTTAATAATTTAAACCCTAAAATGTCCTGTGGAATTAAAGTCTTTATACATAGAATGTGTAAGATTGATATCATTTAAAATAAACAACTGAAAAACCACCGATCATGGGCAAATTTGTCAATGAAGATAAACATCAGTTTCAGCCTTCCAGAGCAGGAAAACCAGCAGTGAATTCATCTTGTGACAGAAGATAAACTGTGCTTCAGAATTTGGCCTTCAGAGTCTCCTTCTCCAGCAGAAGGTCAGCGTACCTATGCTGAAGCTCCTTCTCTCTTTCCTGCTGCCGCTGCACATCTTCTTTTAGACACTTGAAGAGACAAAAATATTACATAATTATTTCCTATGTAAGCACACTGTAATTTTTAAAAATCTTATGGTACTTTATCATCTTACAAACAGCTGAGTTGAGTCCTGACTCTTTTAAAAGGCAAGTATTTCCCAAAGAGAAACAAAAATAGCAACTACTTTTGCTATAAAACAAGTACGATTCCAGCCATTCTTTGGTCATATGAGTGACTACTATCTTTTTGTAAAAGCTCTGCTTCTATCGCAAATCAACAAGCCATTCTTGTCCTATCACTACCCACAAATGCACGTCAGTAAGCCCTGGCTGTCCTTTTATCTGGGCAGCAGCTATCATGTCACTTGAGAAATAAAGTTAAACCAAAGGAATTAGATGCTTTGGAATGACTCGCTATATCCCAGCATCCCAAGTGACTAAAGAAAAAGACACTGATTTAATGTACCTCGGAGAGCTATCTGAATGGGATGCAATTAACTTTCAGAGGGACAAATCACAGGGTTATTTATTCCATGTCATAAAATATCTTTACACAAAACAGAAAACGAGTCAAGGGAAAGCCTTTGTGTCCACCGCTGGCCTGGTCTATCCATCCACACCCGGGCAATTCTAGATTAGAAAGTCAAAGTTTAGGCTCTCACTGCAAGAAGCCAGGCAGTATCGACTTCAGAAGACAGCCTGGACCGGAAGAAGGAGAAAAAAGAAAAGCGCTGGCTAATTCTCTGCAGCTCTTTCTAAGCAATGCTGCCCAGCAATGTTACCTCTAGCCTCCGGGGAATGGCAGAATCCTCATGCTTCTTGAGTTCTTCAAAAGTGCGTAACTCTAGGTAAGCCTGCTCGATCTGGTCCCATAAGTCATTCAGCTGTTTCATGAGCCCCATCGCACGCGACTGGTAACCCCCAAGCAAAATTTTCATCTTCTTTTCCATCTTAGCAGCTCTCTTGGCTTCTGTTGTCATGTGACCCCTGTTGATCTGGGGGCCGGGGGGGAAGGGATCATATCAGTACACAAGAGAAAAGCAGACTAAGTAACAGGGCTGAAAAGGCACTGCTGGTTCATCTACTGCCTCAAAGCAGGACATTAGAGCCCCTTATACCTTATACTTCAGCTACCACAACACAAAATTAGGCTTAAAAAGAGTCTGTCTTGCACCTGAGGAGTTTTACAGGCTAGTCCCAAATAATCTATTTATAGTAACTTCACCCATGATTCAATCTCAAAGCAGGCTTGAATTTTACAGTATGGTAAAAACTAATCAAGACTTCTGAAAATAACTTCTGCTATTACTAATCTGCATTGATTCTGGAACTGGCAGAGACCCATCTTTACCACCAGTATCTCAAAACTGCACTTCTACATTACACATGTAGTACATTTTTAATAACTGAATAATATCCAATTGATGTACCATAGTTGTGATCAAAACATAACCCCTCAAACTATAAAATTACTCGATTATTGGCCTTTTGAGTTCCATTTGCTCAGCCGGCTCCCAACTCTTTGGAGTGTACTTTCTCTTTTAATAATGGCCCTTGAGCCATTCTCTACTGCTCGGGCCCGCTTCTGCTTCTTTGAAATGTACTTTTTCTTCAAATAAACTGCTTTCACCAAAAAAAAAAAAAAGGGGGGGGGGGGGGAAATGGGGGGCCGAGTGGCTCAGTTGGTTAGAGCGCGAACTCTGAGCAACAGGATCGCCGGTTCGATTCCCACATGGGCCAGTTGAGCTGCACCCAAGCTGAGCTGCCACTGAGCTGCCAACAGGTGGCAGGATGGCTCAGCTGGTGTAACAAGGTTGCCTGTTCGAGATGATGGGCTACGCCCGCCCACAACTAAGACTGAACTCAGCACCTTGAGCTGAGCTGCCACCCAGATGGCTCAGTGGATAGAGCGTGAACTCTTAACAAGGCTGCCGATTCAGCTCCTGCATGGGATGGTGGCTACACCCACCACCCGCAACTAACTGAACACAGCACCTTGAGCTGAGCGGTGCAACTGGACTTGGAGCTGAGCTTGCTGCGCCCTCCACAACTAAGATTGAAGGACAACAACTTGGCTGTTCCCCTCCCCCAATTCCCCAACACTGCTCCCCTTCCCCATCACATTTGGCAACAAAATTTTTTTTTAATTTTTGAGGACTGAAAGGACACCATAAAATTAAGAGAAACAAGTTTTCCTATTAAACATGTATGTTAAGCACAGGTGGACTGCCTCTCGGGTCATTTTTAAATTGGGGGAAAAGATGTAAAAATGTATAAACTTACAAAAGAACAGAAGAGGGACAATTAACAGCAGAAAGATTTGAACAAAATTCTAAAGCTGATGCACAAGGGCAGAGAAAGCCCAGCTGAGAAGGTCCGAGGAAAGGTGGCTGAGAATGGAGCAGGCATGTAATGCCGAACCTCACTGGCATAACACCTTCGCTAGGTGTATATTCTTACATCCCACAATATAATCGCTTCCTATTTTAAAGTGATCTGCAAATGCTTGTTTTCAACACACAACATAATTGTGAGGTCAAAGCTGCAGGAATAATTATTAAATCTGTGTTGATTCCTTTTATCTGTCTGTTCCTCCTTTCCACCCCTCCATCAGCTTACTTTCTCTCTCTGCCCTTTCTCCCACCTCCCTCTCTCTCAAACCGATTCCATCAAGTGGCATCCACAAGTAGTCAAAACTAAGTGGTTTCAGCACAATGAATACCCAAATGATACTCTGTAATTCATAATATTGTAACTGAGAGCACTGTATAACCAAGGAGACAGTGTGAAAATATAAATACTTTTCTGAGATACTAAATGTGGGGGTGGCAATAAATAAGCGGAGAAGGTACCAAGGGAAAATGTCACACGCAAAAGGCTGATATGAAAACTGAACATAGGATGTTTTTTAAATATTTAGAAACAATATAATTCCAAAACAAACACATAGCTTTCCATGAAAACAACTTTGAAACATCCTACAAATGCATAACATCTGATTTAAAAACAAAGATATCCATCTCAGTGCTCTATGTAAAGTCAGAACATATAAGAACACCAAAAACTAAAGTGTTCCTCAAAATATAATATAAAGCACATTTCAAAACCAGCACCTCATACCTACCCGTCTCCAGCTCAGTTTATTAAAAGTCAAAAGTCAAATAAGCCTTTGGGAAAGGGGGAGGGGAAGGACATGTTGCATGTGTGTGCCTTAAGGCCGTGAGGTTAATCTAAAATTAATTTAAATAAAGCCCTTTTAAAACCAGTCATATCTTCAGCATTTTATAAAAGTTGACAGCTTTTATTCCTCTGCAGTTCACTTAAAGAATAAACCCATGAATAAATAATATACTTTATAAAGGAGCCATTTTCTTCTAACAGATAACAAATCAAAGTTCGTTTCACGGCAATGATATATACGAGTCAGGAAACGCTGGGTGAAGCCGAGCAGCGCGGCACAGTGTGTAAGAGTGAGTTGCTCCTACCCAGCACTGCCACCCCATGTTCTGAGCTGACGCAAGTTATGTAACCTGTGTCTCCACTTCATCATCAGTAAAACGACAGCCTTTGCTAAAAGTTATTATGACGCTTAAGACAATATACATGAAACCGTTAGCCGCCCAATGACTGGCATAGAGTAAGCAGTCAAGAAATGTTAGCTCTGATTACAATTATTTTATAGGCACTAAGAGTTAAAGCATTTTTGCTCTCCTCTCTAATGGACCAAGGGACTAAGGATGAGACTTTAGAACCGTCTTTAAAATTCCAACTGGAATAAAAAACTGCCATGGACCCCTTCCTGGAAATAAAGCATCTATGGGTCTGCTTCTATTTTGTTTATTCATTTGTTTTGTTTTGTTTTTCAGATTCCACATGGGAGATCATACGGTATTTGTCTCTGTCTGACTTATTTCACTTAGCATAATACCTCTAGGTCCGTCCCTGTTGTCGCATATAGCGTTTTTTTGTTGTTGGGTTTTTTTGCTTTTTAAAAATTAGTCATACAAATTAACATTTTCATACGTTAAGATAATTCAATTAGCTATATGCTACGCTCCATGGATATTCAATTTCTAGTCTGGTGTAACAGCATAATAGTTTAACTATCATCAAGGCACATTTAGTATGACTGGTACCTTATATCTGGGAATTACCGCACCTCACACAGTTGAGTCATTTATTATTCCCAAACTACCAAAGACTTCAAAACTGCGAAGTTGTTATCTTCCATTTAATGCCAACAATTTTATTTAGCTCGAGCTTTATAAAAGTCTTCTGACTCAAATGTTGTGCTAAGATTCCAAGCAAATATGGAAACAAATTATACAAAGAAAATTTAAGTACAGGAAAAAATTAATGTAGTCAGCTATATAAAGCTAGTCACTAAAAGTATAAGGAAGAAATGGAATACAGCTTTTAATATTCAGTTTTAGCTTACTCATCTTATGTCTGCCATCTGATCATTAAAATGTGAAGGAAGGTATCTGTATACTTTGTAAAATGCTCAATCTATGACTACTCAATACACTTTAGGAGGAAAATAACTAACCTAAAACGTCTGGCCTTTTTCTAGCTAATAAATCCCAAGCATGAAATGCACATGCAAACATAGGACAGAACTACCTTCAATTAGCCCTATACTCATACACACACAGAAGCAACACTGACGTCCAATTGCTTAAAATACAAAGAATCAAGAAGAACCAGACTCAGATTCATACTTCTAAGCCCTTAAAAAAATACAATTAAGCATTAGCAACTGCCCTAAAGGACAACTTACTTTGGAAAAAAACAATATTAGCTTAAGGAGCTTGCACTGCATCTTACAGCAGATGTACCAAAAGTTCTCAAAAAATTTTTTTCAAATTCTTATATGCACTTAGATATACTTCAAAGTCTCCTTAAAACATCTAACAAAGTTAGTAGTGGGTAGAATTAAATAGTACTTTGTTCACTTGTCACCAGACAAGCCTCCCAAATATGTTTATAATGGGAGTTTGTGCTTTAAATGTGTATCAGCACTAAATTTCTAATAATCTTAAATAAAATAAAGTTTACTATAACTATTAGGAATTTAAAGTAGGAAACACTTGATATAATTAAAGCTGACTACATCCAAAATGAAAGAGTAAAATTCAATTTAAATGAGAATGTACCTACATATAAATGTGTAAGGAAACCAAGTTGACAAATTTCATGCACCATAATTCTGTATTATAATATGATGTCTGGAATTTGCTTCAAATGATGGGGAAGGGCAACTAGATGAAATGAAGTGGCTATAAGTTGATGACTGTCAGGTGGGTGATAATATGTGATAATATATAAGAACTCATTACATTAGTCTACTTCTGGGCGTTATTTTAAAATTCCCAAAATAAAAGATATTTCAAAATTCAAATTCAGTATCTACTCTAAAGGCTAATTATTTTAAGACTTACACCACAAACCATGAAACATCAATACAATGAAATATAATAGAGATATTATAATGTATGTCACCTATTTCAACACCAAATTTACATATGAAATGTTAAATTAAAATCCTCAGTTACATAAGACCCATTTATACTAACCAAAATCTGATTGATTCTTCTCCTAAAATCGACACGTCTCAAATTTCAAACAATCATCAAAATACATAGAATAAAAACTCAGCCACCCTGCTGTTCAAGGTGAAGTTACTTCTTATTCCTTAAAGCATCAAACCAAGTTTATCCCATTTAGATAACAGAGGGTGAAACAGACCTGAAGAGACATGGGAGAGAATTCCCATTCACTAAAACTTGCTATTTGCCAGGCACCTCGTATCTCATTTAATCTTACATTATCTAAACACTCACTTCCATGAGATAAAAACTATTACCTACCCAAGTTTTACAGGTAAGGAAATCTGAGACCCAGAGAGGTTAAGTAACTTGTGCTAGGCCACGCAGCCACTAAGTGATGAAGCTACGCAGTAGCGTCCTACTTGAAAGCCCAACACTTTAGGCCA